CTCCAGGGGTTCTGTTCCCATTATCTCTTGCCATGTAACAAATCTCCCCTAAGCTTACTGGATTAAACCAACCACCATTTATTTTCTGTTGATGGGGAAAATTGGGGAGTACAGCTTCACATGACCTTGGCTGAGACTGTCATATGAAGGCCGGGCTGGACCAGGAAGCCTGTGGGTTTCACTCCTGTGCCTAGAGTTAGATGAGGTGGCTGGGAGGCGGGGCTGCTAGGCCTCACCCAGCTGAGGGATCTCAAGGCACTCCCTCCTCACACAGCCCTTCTGCACCAGTCTCTTCAGCTGGTCACTCAGCAGGGTAATCACATTTTTCTCACACAGTGGCTTAGGGCTCTGCAAAAGGCAAAGGCAGAAGTTACTGGGTTTCTCATGGGATAGGCCCAGACTAGCACAGTGTCATTTCTCCACATTCTACTGGTCAAAGCAAGTTACAGAATGTCCTAGATTCCTCTGGAAGGGGACTACAAAAGGATGTGGCTATGGGGAAGTGTGGCTCCTCAGCAGCCATATTTGGAGAACAGCTGCCATGGGTTCGATAACCAGCTTCATGAGGATATGAGCTAACGAACTATGGAATGTCCCGGAGTCTGCCTGTTTAATAGTCAACATGAACAAAATGAGTTCTACGAATCCTAGGGAGTGGGGCTCTGGCACTAATTCTAATACCTCCTCATTAAGGAACTGGTGAAAGTGTTAATTAGGCACAGTTTAAGTGAATATCTTTCCTTCAGTCCTTTGGTGACATTTATTTTCTTGATCTACATCCTTTGCTGAGTTTCTCTTGTGATTCATATCATCATGTTGTAATGGTCACTTCCCTTGTGGGGAATGGCCTTTGAATTTATTGCTGAGAAAGCTCCATTTCACTATCTTCAGTTGTATAAAGTTCACAATTTACGTGCAGAATCTCTGCCGACTGTCCCTGTAGCCACAGAGGCTGCTCTTTCCAGGGGCTCCTGAATAATGCTGAAGACTTAAGGAAGGGTATTCTCCAACGTGCACTCTGAAACTCTACCCTGCTAATAAAACTTTCTGTAGCTATGCGGCTCTTTGACTCCAGAACACTTCAGAATAAAGGTCTTATATTTTTGCCCAAGAATGACTTCCAAGTTCTGAAGAACCTGGAAAACATATAACAGAGTATGCAGTGTGTAGTAGATGTGCAGCATGTTTGAAATAGATAGATGTTCTGATAGTCATCCAGAGGAGCAAGTTAGTGCTGTGCTCTGAGTGCCTCATATGCTGAAATCTTCATCCCCCAAGGTAATGGCACTAGGAAGTGGAGTCTTTGAGAGGTGATTTCTCATGATTGAGATTAATAAAATCCTGGAGAGCTAACTAGGTCCTTCTACTATGTGAAGCCACAGGGAGATGATACCATCTATGAACTAGGCCTTCATCAGACACTGAATCTGCTGATGCCTAGATCTTGGACTTTGCAGACTCCAGAACTGTGAGAAATATATTTCTGTTGTTTATAAGCTGCTTGGTTTACGGTATTTTGTTACAGAAGCCTGAATGGACTAAGACAATGAGTTACCTTTTTCAAAGGACCTGGAACACTGTGAGTTTCAATAATCATTAGTTACCATTTTGGTATCTGCTCTAGCCGTTGTTCACCAATACAAAGTTGGCCCCAAAATACTAATCCTGTAATTTTAGATTGCCCCAGTCATCTGCTAAAACCATTTTTCTTGGTGTTTTTGAATGAGAAAATTAAATATATTTACATTTAACTATCAACTTATTGGATATTTCTACTATCTTTAAAAAACTTTTAATATATTAATTGAAACACTGTTGTACATATTTATGGAGTACAGTAAAATAATTCAATCAACTGTGCAATGATCAAATCAGGGTAATTAGCATTTCCATCTCCTCAAACATTTATCATTGAAAACCTTTGGACTCTTCTAGTTACTTTGAAATATATCATAAGTTATTGCAGAATGTAATTGCCCTATTGTGCAATAGAACACTAGAACTAATCCTTCCTATTTAACAGTACTTTGGTACCTTATTTAACCTTTCTCTATCCCTCCTTTCCACATCCCTTCCTAATCTCTTATGACCATTGTTATCCTTCTTTTTTCCCCTGTGAAACCAATTTGCTTAGCTTCCAAACAACATGCCACATTTGTCTCTCTGTACCTGACTCACTTTACATAGCATAGTGTCCTCCAGTTCTATTGATGATGCCGAAAATTGTATCACTTCATTTTTTTATGGCTGAAAATACAAAATTGTGCATATATGACACATTTTCTTTATCCATTGATTAATACTTTGGTTGATTCCATATACTAGCTATTGTGAATAGCACTGCAATAAACATGAGTTAATAAGTTGATTTCATTTTCTTTGGATGTACATCCAACTGTAGGATAGCTGGGTCATTTAGTAGATTGATTTTTACTTTTTCAAGGAAATTCTATATTGGTTTCCATAGGGACTGTACTAATTTTATCCCCACTAACAGTGTATGAGAGTTCTCTTATGTCCAGATCCTCAACAGTCTGTGTATCTTTTTGTAATAGCCATTCTAACTGGAGTGAGATGCTTAGTAATATCAAGCATTTTAAAATATACCTTTTGGGCACTTGTATGTCTTCATTGAGAAAGATCTACTCAGATCATTGGCTTATTTTTTAATCATGTCCCCTGCCTTTTTTTTTTTTTTTTTTTTTTTTTTTTTTTTTTTTGCTATTGTTTTGAATTTCTTGTCTAGTCTGGACATGAATCTTTTGTCAGATGAATAGTTTGCAAGTATTTTCTCTCAGTGTGAAGGGTGTCTCTTCACACTATTATTTCCTTTGTTGTGCAGTAGCTTGATGTAATTGCATTAGCTATTTTTACTTTCTGTTATTTTGGGGGTCTAGTCCAAAACAGAATCTTTACCTATACCACTGTGTAGAAGCATTTCTCCTGTATTTCTACCACCTTATCTTGTTTTTCCATTTGTCACCCTTTCAGTTTCTTTTTATGTCTCTAGTGGCCTCCTTTTTGGCTTTTTAAAAATTCCGCTTTCCCCTTCCTTTTGGCTTTCAGTCTATACATTCTATGTCTACACTTTTAGGATTACCCTAGACATTTAAACAAGCATACTTTCCTATCAAAAATATAAGGTATGTTCTGTCTTATTTCCTCAACATGGGACCTTAACAAAGCTTTCCTTAGGATTATCCATCTCCTGACTTACATAATGTTGCCTATTTCAGTTGTGGTTTGCTTTTTCTAACTTGTAAAACATTGTTATTAGTTTGTGTAATTGCTGTTTATTCCAATTTTATAGATAATGTTAATTTATTTTTCAAATCTGCTCGCTCAGTTTTGTGGCCTTGTAACTTACATCTTCAATCTCTTCTACTGTTTATTTAAACATGTTTTGGTTTTGATGATTCAGGAAGTCTGTGCATGTCTAATTCTGCTTTAAGCTGTTTTTGTTGACTCTAGCTCATGATATTTTGTTAGTCTTTGACACATGATTTGTGAATTTTTGCTCATATTTATTAGAAATTATGTGTGTAATTATTTATACTGAGGTAGAAAGTGGAAAGGTATCTTCCAGATACCTCTCTGGGTATCTGGAAGAACTACTAACCCAAGAGCTTTTGAAATCAAATCCTGGGCTTGAGGTTTTTGTGAACACCAAAAATATATCTTTTTTTTTTTCCTGCAAGTCTGTATGAGGTCAGAATTGTGATCTGAAAAATCAGAGAAGACTCTCATCCCACCCCCCATACCACACACATATGCACAGTTCAAGTTTCTAGTCAGCCTGTTTTGTTCAGTTTTCTGGAGAGCCAAATTCAGGAAGAGATTAATTGCCCATTCATTCCTATATGTGAAATAGTTCAGTGTCATCTGTCAGGATGCTAGAAACTGAATTTGTGTGTTTCAATTTTACTCAGAATTTTATTTTTGTTTTAGAAAAGGCAACATCACTTGTGGTGTGGTTGCTCCCGGCAATCAGTGCCTAGACAGACTTTTGGAGAGCACAGTGAACGGGGTCAGTCCCTGATTTCTACTCACCATCCTCTGCAGCTGTTTTGAGTAGAGTTCAGGTCAGCTGCCTGGGGAGGGCATCTTGAGTTCAGCTCTATTGAGGGGCACAGATTCTTCGCCATCTACACACACACCAGCTCTGCCATGATGTAGGCCATTTTCTTCCCGCATCATGATCTTGGCTCCACTCTCAACTGTCTCCCCATCTGCCAAGTGAAAGCCCTCTTTCTGCTAGCCTTTCCAGGGCTCTCTGGGAGGCTGAGGACCACCCTCCACATCTGAAGGACCACCCTCCTCTGGAGCTCCTCAATCCTGGGAATTATTTAGTAGTCTGTCCCATCAGCTGTTCCCTGCTCAGGCCTTGACCAACTCATGGCCTCCTAACCTCGACTTACTCAAGTACTGCTTCCATGATCCACTCTAGCCCAGACAGTTTCTTTTTCTTTTGTTTCCTTTTTTTTCTTCCTCTTCTCCCCCACCCTGCTTCTTCCAGTGGTGGGAATTGAACCCAGGGTCTCATTCATGCTAGGCAGGTGCTTTACCACTGAACCACATCCCCAGTCAAGTCTCTTCTTATTTCTTTTCATCTTTTCCTCCCCCTTCTCTCTTCCATGTTTTTTTTAATATTTATTTTTTAGGTATAGATGGACACAACACAATGCCTTTATTTTTATGTGGTGCTGAGGATCGAACCCGGGTCCCGCCCGTGCTAGGCGAGCGCTCTACCGCTGAGCCACAATCTCTTCCATGTTTTTGTTCATGTGTTCTACTCCAAGGCCCTACAACTGGATACAAAATATCATGGATAATAACTCAAACCCCCCTGCCCACATTCTTTTCATGAGAGGTCAGTTCTGAGGTCCAGCATTGAACCCAAATATAAGCAAAGCTCAGAAGGGACAGAGTGTTACTTCTGCAGCTTTGGGACACTACTGTTGAGCCCTTTCATTGACTATTGTTTTTTCTTTTACTTATAGTCCAAGAGGTTCAGAAGCAAACCTGGAGGTGAGACCTGAAGAAAGTTGGAGCCATGCTGACCTTGAACACTTCAAAGAAGCAACTTCTATGTCTGAAAAGCCCACCACCAATTTTGCAAATGAGGAAGATGGGGGTCCCCAAATCTGCCGCGTCTGTGGGGACAAGGCCAATGGCTATCACTTCAATGTCATGACATGTGAAGGATGCAAGGGCTTCTTCAGGTAGTCACCCATCAACCTTCACTCATTTGCCACCGCTGATACACTGGGTCACATCTAACGGGAGTCTGCCAGTAACCCTGCAGGGCAATGTCTCAGGGACTCAGTTTGATCTGTCTTGGGGGTTCAAAGAGTAGGCTGGTAGCCCACCCAAAGGCTTTCTAATTAGTCTTGAATGAACCATTTATACCTCAGAGCAATCTTCATCTCTTTCTTCCAGGTTCTACCTGGAAAAGATCCCCTTCTATTAAGATACCATTTTATGTATTCGTCAATGAAAGATCAGACAGTGAAAGAGTCAAGAATTTAAAAATCCAAAACGCAAAGTGTTCAAATCAGTTTTATAGGACAGTTATTAAGAGTGGCATAAAATAAATAAAAAAGAAAACAAGCTCACCTAGAATAGACAAACAGGGAGAATTAAAAAACAGAGGACTATGGTACTGGGATTGTGGCTCAGTGACAGAGCACTAACCTTACACATGTGAGGCACTGGGTTCGACCCTCAGCACCACATAAAAATAAATAAACAAAATAAAGATATTGTGTCCGTGTAAATCTAATAT